TCTTTGTGGTAATGGCCGCTAGCACAAAAAGAAGAAAAACACCACTGGCATTGGCTCCCAAGTTGAAAGCCCCTGTGACCTTGATCAATGCATTGTAGCTGACCACGTCAGGCTCAGCAGCAGCAGCACACATGTCATGGAAAATGTTCAGGGCACTGTCCTCGGCCGAAGCAGCTTGGAGACTCATAGCAAGGCTCCACAGCTAGTCCCACATTACACTTACACATCTGGACGCTGGTCTCGCTGTTGCTTTTTGTCCGCTGCAGTGCCATATTGGCACAGATCTGGGATGAAACTGACACTTTCTAAAATTCAGTGTCAATGAGGTTCAGTGAAGTTGCCAATCCTTCTCCTTGCGGGACAGCCCAATCGCCAGCCACGAGCTCTGAAGCAGCTCCGTCTCAGACCGTGATCACCTCCCCTGTGAGGGGCACCAGTCGCAAGCGACTCAGTTGAGTTTTCCCAAGATCCAGGTTCACGGGAGTTTAGCAGACCAATCGTTCGACACCGTTCGACCAATCCTCCCGGCCAGGTACGCCGTCACAGACTTCTCCGTGCGAGCCTTTCCCTGCCTTGGCTGTGCATAAATAAGTTCAGTTTAGTGGGAAAAGGATGAAACATGGAGGTGAGTCCCTGCAACTTCAGCCACGATCAAGTTTCTGGGCGGCTGGCGCAAAGCTCGCTTGGCAAATTGAAGACCAACCTTGGGCACTGCAGGCTGGCATCTTCACTTGCAAATTTGTACAAATACATCCGATATGCCAAGAGCGGCGCTAGCTAGCAGCTATTGTGCCCAGATGCCACCATGCGCTGTGTTGTTGGATTCCGACCACGCCTGACCAAAACAGCAAAAAGCAGTTGGTCCCCAGCAGTTCTGCAGCATGACCAGGAGTCCAGCCTGACCACCGTGCAGCCGTGCTTGCAGGAAGTCCGAAAGACCAGGAGATCTCCACGACTCATCTGGGCTTCGTGCTTTCGTCCATCCACCTTGGTGAAGAACGAAGTGTTCCACTTCCAGCACTTGCCACCGGCTCTGCTTTGCAAACATGTCCAAGCTGCTTGCAAGCAGTTGTGCTATGTTGTACTGCACATCTCTAGCCCAAGGCCCTCACAAGTGTGAAGAACCTGCCACCTGTGAAGTCCTGCCCTGGCTGGCTCAAAAGCAAAAGCATCTGCAGTGGATAAGACCTAAGCCATGTCATGTCATGTGCATCATGAACAGCTTTGGAGTGCATTATTGACACCCAACCCCGGACCCCTATCTGCTCTGCGCTCGGGTCGCGACACTTCGCCATAAATATCCCGATGGGCCCGGTTCTCACCTCCCTCCTCCAAACCGACAGATGCAGAAATCGAAATCATCGACTCTCCATCACCGGCTTTCATTTCTGCGGGGAAAACCCCGCCCCGTCCTGATACCACAGAAACAGGCTGCTCGGGCGTGCTTGACCTTTTCGCTCGCACAACCTCAGGACACATGCCAAAAGCTGAGCGCAGCACTCGTCACAATTCACGGTAGTGTCAAAGTGTGCTCGGAAAATAAGCAAATGAGAGACGTGCCATGTTTGTGACGGTTCGGAAACGGTTCTGAAAAGGTTTTATTATGTTGTAAACATCTTGACAAACAAACAATACATCGTCATCGTCATCGTCATCGTCATCATCATCATCATCGTCATCATCATCATCATCATCATCGTCATCGTCATCGTCATGCACTTTCACTGCGTGGGAGGCAGGTATTTGATTTATTCTGCTCAGCACAATTCAACCCAGATGCGCTTCAAAGTCCTCCAAGGTCGGTGGCAACTCACGCCTTCTCTCTCGCACATCAAGCTCATTGCACATTACACGGCCACAAGCTGTCACCTCCCGAGCGCACAGAACTGATGCGGGCGCCCGATGACAATCCGATTTCCGGGGCGCCGGAAGCGACCGTCATAACATCGATGAACCCTCTGCCTCCAAGCCATGCTGCTCTAAAAGCTCGCTGGCCGTGGGAAGGAACATCTCATAAGCGACCTCCTTCAAGCTGGAAAGCTGTAATGGCAGCTGCCGAAGGTAGTCATACCTTGGTGCTGTGCCAAGCAAGAACCGCTTTGTATATCAATGTCAGGTATATACTGGGGTTGACTGAAGTATGCTCGACACATAGACATAGCTGGCTCGCTGCTCGCATAAGGTCCACACCCGCCATTCCCTTTGCCTCAGCTTCTCCACAGCTTCACGTAGATTAAGCAACTGAAGACATCCAACAAAAACGATCAAACATTAGATTGCCACCGCAGTGCTTTGCTCTTCCATTCGCACTGTTCCGCCTTCCAGGAAGCCGGGGAGCTCCAGCAACAAGGCATCCACATCTGAGGGCTCCAAGGCCCTTTGGAGGATGGCAAAGCCGCCCTACATGGTTATGTCATGTTGCAAACGGCAAAATAAGGAAATTAATTCGAAGGATGCTCATGTCTACCAAAGTAAGTCCTCCTCCTTCTCTCTCTCCCTCCCTCCCTCCCTCTCTCTCTCTCTCTCTCTCTCTCTCTTTCGCACTGTGCGCACGACGTAGCAATGTAACGATAACTGCCATCCATGCCATCCTACCAGCATCGTTGACCTTAAAAGGGTTTGCGCTACCATCGCTTCCTGACGCCCCCTACTTCATCTTCCCGCCTCAAAAAGATCCCGTTGAAAAACAGGTTCTGCAACCCAGTCGTGGAGCCGTTGTTGCCAATGCTCCCGCCATCCTCCACCTCCAGCTGGAGCCCGTCGTTGCCATCCTCTGTGTCACACACAGAAACCCTAGCTCAATATTGGTTAATCTGTTTGTGACTGTCTATGTCTGTGCCATTGCATGGGCTTCCTCGGTGGGACGTGGGAGTTGGAGGTCTGCGCCTGCGCCCCCCAAAATCCTCTTGCAACTGAGTTTCGCCTCGCAGGCTGCATCCAAGTCCCGGCCCCAGCCCTATGTTACTTGAGCCATCTTGAGCCACTCACATGCCAAAGAAAGGTTCCACAAGTTGGGTGAAGAGGTGGGCTTCATTTGGGATCCTTTTGGTAGCAGGATCAATCCCACGGAAGCTAGTCAGTGATACATACTTCAACCAACTAATCTGAAGAGCTGATAACATTTGCCCAGCAAACTAAGGCGCCATAGCAGCTTGGCACAACTTGAAACAAAACTGGTCAGAAAGATTGCCCTTCTCCATGCTGCCGTAAGCCCCACCAGCATGTGTTCCATAGAAATCATGGAGCAAAGAAACTAAGCCTTGGAAAAGTCCAACAGGGTCCTGCCAGAAACAAGAGTATCGCTACGAACGTACATAACAAGGGCATCGCTACTAGTAAGGAGCAAGGACGCTACGAACGTAGCTCCTGGCTTTACTATTAGTAACAAGAAGCTACAAGAAGCTACTAGTAACAAACCCATTCGCCCAACAGAGAGAGCGTCCCTGCCATCCACCTGTGCACAGCTCCAAGGCTCTGCTGCCAGCGCTGGTGGCCCTGAAGCGCACAGTGCCATAGCAGTGTTAAAGGTGATCACGTCGCGCGAGTGGGTGTCCTCAAGGTGCCCCAAAGGGAAAAGCTCCTTGGAGATCTTCAATAACGAGTGTGCAACTATACTGGTCAGTTCCAAATCTGCGAAAGTAACAGCCGGCAAGGTTCAAAATCTCCTGGACTCAGAGCGAAACAGGACTCTCACACACCCCAAGCCACCCTGACGGTTGCCTTCCACAGTCGTAGTGCCACGCTCCAGCGCCGTGCACGCTCGCATGCACCAAGTGCAGCGTTGAGACCTCGAGATCTTCCGAGGAATTGCTTTGGACATTGGACATCAATTGCCATTTAAGTAGAACATGAAGTGGCGGTTTCTGTTCTTGTCTTGGATGTTCATCCCCCACCCTGACCATCTGCCATATAATTGAACTCCTCAGCCTCAAAGCCATCCAAGTCGCTACTCGTGTCCCGGACGCGTCCGGCTCCCAGCGCCAGGGCCTCTGCCCAGCGGAGGCCACGGCCCAGCGCGGCCACGGCCGCGGCATGGAGGCGAGCGTCCTGGACCTCGCAAAAGCGGTGCGGGGAGAAGGATGATAAGAAACAAATAAAGTCTTAAAGAGATTAGAGCCCGTGAGTCAGTCCCAGTGGTAGGGAAAGGAGCATGACAATTGGAAAGAATGGAGCTTAAGACTCCAAGACTCAAAGCACCAGGACATATGAGGACTAGAGATTCACAATCTTCCAGCTTGATATCAATTGTTGTAGTGAATGGAAATCCAAGGTGCTGGAGTTTCGACCAATGCCAAGTAGACTGCTTGTTGCCAGCGTGTTGCCCTTGCGAGTGCGGCCACCTTCGCTGTGCGCTTGGCCAGGAACCTGCCAAGGCACTTCCTGAAACCAATGTTTGGTCGTCAGTTTGTTTGGCAAAGGATGGACTATGAACATATAGACCCCCAAATAGATAGAAAAGCAGATCCCCACTAAGAATGTATTGGAAAGCGTTTCTATATGTTTCTATCTATTTCGGGACCGCTCTAAATACCACCGGCCGGAAAGTCAAGAATCTAGAATCCGATCGGCCTCTGGTCGCTGCCCATGAAGCACCATCCATATCGCCCCGTGAAATCATGGTGAAACCAGATGAAAATAGACTATATAATGCGTGCGATAGGCACGTGTCGAAATGAGACCTTCAGTAGAAGGCAGAGCACGCACTAGCTCTGCTTCGTGCATGAAGATCATGCAAAGCTTCTAGAGACATGCATAACAAACAGAAAGCGACGCAAGCAAGCCTCTGCTTGAGCTGGACAAAGGTGGTGCATGAGCATGTCTGGCAGCGTGACATGTGAGGCTGGAGGTTTCAAATCCTGCTTTAGTTCGACCAAACGACTGCGGATCGCGAAGAGTTCTCGACTCTAGTCACTCTAGTCAAAGCTTGAGACTGCCCAAATTATTGACTCTGTGCTTTTGAGCGAAGCTACGTGCTGTTTGGCACCACTTGGCCACCCGGCAGAAGGCCAAGCCACCCGCCCTGTGCGAGAGCCGCACTCGCGTCTCAAGCATCACCTGAGAGCGAAACACAATGGCCAATTTCCAAGAGGGAGTATGCGCAACATATCTATACATATATATCTATATAAAGACTTCCTAAAATAGCAAGCCCTTGGAAGGGCTTTCTCAAGGATTTTCCTATCAAACATGATGTTGCTGATGCAAATCTATATGGTACATGCTCGCACCTTCTTCAATCCGATTTGTTTTCCTGGAGCATACAGCAGTTGCAAACCGAGCACTTTTCCTCCCCGCTGTCTCAGTCTCGGCCACCTGAATGCTCCTTTCACTTCAACTACACATCTGAAGCCTATCACGAGCCACCAACTGTGCACGATGACGTTCAAGCAGCCAACAGGCCACACTCTAGTTAAAACAACTGCGAGGCTCTCCTTCGAACAGTCGCCCTCAGCCCTCAGCCTCCGCGCATGGAGACCTTTCAAAAAACCAACAGCAGCGACCTTGCACTGTCATGGACTGCCTTTGTCACAATGTCATGCTGAAATAGTTGTCAGCCCCTCGCCACCTGCCCGTCTTTCACAGTGGAGATGGGCGCAGCACGAGCAACAAAGAGATGATAGATCTCTGACCATTGGCAGGCTCCTAACAGCAGTGTGGCCCACAAATGCCAACAGGATGGGATTGAGCTGGCCGACTCAAGTTATCACTTTCAAGGCGAGGCTGTGTCAAAGGAAGCATCTTCAGTATCTGAACCCCTCAACCCCTTCTTCCCTGTCAAGAGTGTGCATTCTAATGGAGATCCTGAAGAAGCCCCTGGGCAGCAGCCATCTTCACGCGTCGCTGGCGGGGCGATCTCTTCCCATGTGATGCCTCGAGCAGGAAAAACATATATATAGAGAGAGAGGGAGACATGTTTGACCTGTCATATTATGGGTACAGCAGGGTTCAGTGTCACACAAAAATGGAAACCAACGTTTGCTGGGAGTTCATCAATGATCGGCAATTTTCCTCTCCGGGCCAAGGAACCACAACACGAATGCTTTAAACTATTCAAAACTGTACTACGTATGTATCCAGTCATTCGGCAAGAGAAAATTTGCTTAAAAATGCGTACATTAAACCCTGCAGTCACCCCTGCTGGTTTTCTCTGGCCTTACAAAAATTGACTAGTAATTACTAGACTCGACCGCCACTCCCTGTCTTTCACTTGGACGGTGACATGCTTGCTGACTGGACAATAGAAATGAAGACAACTCAAGAGTTTCAAAGGCTCTTTCCAACACCTTTAACTAACAGCAACATTTGCAGTTCAGAACAAGTCCGCGAGATCGCGGGAAGGTCCAACGGTGTCTCTCCACCGCACGTGTCGAGAGACAGTGAGGCCTGCGTCCTCAGACTCGGGACACTGCGCGTGTCCCGCTCTTCGAAGAGCCTCCACCCTGGGAAAAGGGTCGGTCGCTCTCAGCTCAGATCCATGGGAGAAAGAGTTGGTGGCAGGGGCCCCCCAGTCGTGCAACCGAACAAGGGCAGTGGGGACTTCAAATCTCATACTCTTGGTCCATCCTGATGTTGTTGGACTGGGACATGACATGTCTGGTGCGTCTCACGCAGCCATCCGTGCTGCAACTGGGAGAAAGCTACCGTAGTTTCACAAATGTATTTCCGTTCACTGCTCAAGAACTGAATGCGCTCACAACTTGAACGACATGTGGGCCAAAGTCTACCAACTCCCAGCCACTTTCCATGCCTCCCTCATGGAACGTCAAGCCCCATCCAAAACAAACTATGATTACCCTAACTTCCAACATCATACTACATCCAACGAAGAATCAAGCACCTCAAACTTGACTGACTGAAGCAACATCAGTGTACCCATTCGCACACAGCGCGCGTCGCACCACCGAGCCACGTCTGCTGGTGCGACTCGCGCGGTGACTCGTCGGCCGCGAAGCCAATGAGCTCCACCCAGCGGTGCAAGAGCTGGAGACCTGGGTAAGGGTGGAATGAGATGTGGAGATGACATACAAGTGATGAGATGAGTACAGTAAGTCAATGGGTATGGGGTGCTATGAGCAAGTGATATGATTGGTCTGTTCTAAGCTCCTGGGATCTGCTGGGATTTGTCCATGATGGATATTTGAGCACGCGGGCCAAATAGCTGAGGAGTTTGGTGTGAGTATGTGTGTGTGTGAACACGTTCATAAGAGATCATAAGGTAGTTATGAGTGTAGTGTCTTGATGGATTCAATCGAACCAACACAATCTACATCTACACCACGAGCTTTGCGAGCTTTGCAAAACCTGCAAGCTAAGGGTGCAACCTCGCTTCAGATCGTCCAGCTGGTGTCCCTGCTCGGCCAAAGTGCTCCCGAGTTGCTGCAAGGCGTTCCGGAAATACCTGGAACGGGGAACGCCCTTCGTGTATGGCATAAGGACCATGTTCGTTGCTTCAATCATGGGCACTAAAAGCGTCGCCTGAAATCACAAAACAGAAACCTTGACTGCAGCACGAGCACAGCAAACCACGGAAGGACCAAAGCTGCGCTTGAGAAATGCTTCGCCGCCCCTCCTGTCATTGTGACATGAAGTTGACACACGCTTCACCGAGAACAAGAGCAAGGCTCCTTGGACCACGGTTCTTCTTCCTTGCAAAGTTGGCGGTATTCTTTCATTGCCTGAGCTTTCAACGGAGCGATGACGCAATAGGCGCCAACGACAGCCAGCTACCACTTCTGCCGTCAAGGCACAATTGGAAGAAAGTCACAGTCGTGGATGACTTCCTTGAAAGCAAGGTGTCATATTGTGTATGGTATCATCGAGCGAAGCTGGGCCCCTCGCATTCAACATGCGCTGAACGGCAGGCTGCCCACGGCTTTGCTGTCGTCGTGCCACGCAGGTGTGGATGGAGCTCACTCTGGAAAAGATAACCTTTCACATTCGGCTGGCTATTCACTGGTCAACAAAAAAGCAATGAATTCAGCGCGTTGGGCCACCCGACCGCCCGAAGGTGTTTCTGCTCCAGGTCGCTGAGGCCATCCAAAACAGCTTCACGCCACTTGCGCAAACGGGCCTGAGGAAAATCAACGTGCGGTTCTCCTTTGCCAATCATACTGACATCATGTTTCAAAAGAATGTGCTTTGTACCATCTATTGTAGTATCATATGCAAGACCCCCCCTACCATGAAGGCACAAAGCTCCACAAATTGAATATATAAGGCACAGTCTGTCCAAAGGCGAATGTCCAACCGTCTTTGGAAGCAAGCGTCACCAACCGTCTCTTCAGTGATGGATCCAGTCACTGAACGGACCGAGATCTGAGCTAAGCCCCCGCACCCAATCGAGCCAATCGGAGCCGCTCAGCGCTTCGGCGAAGCTTCCCCAAGAGCACGGAAAGGGAAGATCCTGCAAAACAACCAGCAACTCCTAGGCGATTCAAATTGGTTTTGAGATGTTTTGAGCATCTTCCATGTGTATGCTACGCAGGCTGGGCATGCTGAAAACAGGGTCTACTGATGCCTAGTGCCTGTATGTGCCTGTTGACTCGTCTTCGACCACTCCCACATGCCTCTGCGGCTTTGAGCAGGGCGTCCCAGCTGTGGATGGTCGATCCAGGCGGATTCTGGCGAAGGAATTGGAGGTTTACAAAAATGAGGTCATTCCCCTCATTCCATTCCCAACAATCATTCAGATTCAGGAAGCGAGCTTTCTTAGATTCTTATACGTTTTTATCGTGTTATGAAAACATCTGAAAACATTCACAAAGCCACTTGGGATATATCATATATATATATATAGATATCCCTTTGCCCCCAGCCAACTCGCTCAGCCGGTAGAGTGTAGGAACAAACGATCTCCATTGACCCAAGCCGACCCAAGCTATCCCGTCCCCCCTTCCAACGTTCGAAGAAAGTGATATAGGACCAATGGCACAGACCCCAATGTCGGTGGTTTATTCCCCAAACAGTTTACTGTTAGGGGTGCCTTGGTGCTGGATGGTCTGGTCGGGTTCCCGGCCGGCTTGTCTCCCACTTCTTTTCAATTGTCTCCCAGTTCTTTTCACTTGTCTCCCAGGCTGGGTGCTTGTGGTCGGGTCTGGCTTGTCTCCCACTTCCTTTCATTTGTCTCCCAGTTCTTTTCATTTGTCTCCCAGAACACTTCCTTTCATTTGTCTCCCACTTCTTTTCATTGTCTCCCAGGCTGGGTGCTTGTGGTCGGGTTCCCGGCCGGCTTGTCTCCCACTTCCTTTCATTTGTCTCCCACTTCTTTTCATTTGTCTCCCAGGCTGGGTGCTTGTGGTCGGGTTCCCGGCTGGCTTGTCTCCCACTTCCTTTCATTTGTCTCCCAGGCTCGGTGCTTGTGGTCGGGTTCCCGGCCGGCTTGTCTCCCACTTCGACTCATTTGTCTCCCACTTCTTTTCATTTGTCTCCCAGGCTGGGTTCCCGGCCGGCCTCCCGCTTCCTTTAGGCTGGGTGCTTGTGGTCGGGTTCCCGGCTGGCTTGTCTCCCACGTCATTTTATTTGTTTCCCACTTCTTTTCATTTGTCTCCCAGGCTGGGTGCTTGTTTCCGGCCGGCTTGTCTCCCACTCCTTGCATTTGTCTCCAACTTTTGCCCCAAACAGTTTACTGTTAGGGGTTCTCAATTCTTTCTTAAGATGTGTCACTGCTGGTGTTTGCACTGGCCATGTAGCATTTCTAATTATTCATGTTTCTCCCAGGTCTGTCACTGCTGGTGTCCGTCCGTTTTCCGCTGGCCATGCAGCATTTCTATTCATGTGTCTCCCAGGTCTGTCACTGTTGGTGTCCGTCGTTTTCCGCCGGCGATGCAACATTTCTATTCATTTGTTTTCCAGCTCTGTCACTGCTGGTGTCCGCCCTTTTCCGCTGGCCATGCAGCATGTCTATTCATTTGTTTCCCGGGTCTGTCACTGGTGCTGCCGCCCTTTTCCGCTGGCCATGTAGCATTTCTATTCATTTGTCTCCCATGTGATTTCTTTCTTTTTGTCTTTCAGGTTTGGTCCCTGCACTGCTGTTTTCTGCCCTGTCCGCTGGAACA